ACCTAGGAACCTTCGTTTTGGAAAACTTTCAAACTGATACATCTTACACAACAGCAATCTGGAGAAGGTCATAACTTTTAATCCCAGATTGGCGCAGACCCTTTTCCCCCCCCCTTTTAGAAAGCTCATCAGGAGGAAGTGGAGTCATAAACCTTATATGCCGTTGGCCTTTCAGAACTCCTACCTCATGCATTTTAGCATATTCTGAATCCCATCTTAGCCACTTCTGATAACTACGATTACAACTTTTCAACCGCGAATCTTCCCATTTTTTACTCAGAGAGTATATATATATGTCCGAGATACAGGAATGGATGAAACATTTGCTCCTTCCTTCTGTCCTTCCTTCGCTTCCTTTAAACTGTTTCTGAATCCGCCGACCATTATATAAAGTGTTGGCAGTCGCATACGCTCAAGTCCGTAACTGGTTTATCCACGAAGTGGAGTGATTTATTTAAATGGCAATGTTTCTTAGTCGTGGATGTTTTCTACACTGTCGACAGCGTACGATTTTTGTATGAAGTTCTCATTGCTGTTCTCACTGCTCAGTGCGGTTCAATGGAAGTAGCGCCGTGTAAGTGATTGACCCGAAGGTAACACCAAGGACACAAATGAATTAATTCGCATTCCCATACTAAAGCCCCCTATGCCTTATGATGAATAAGTTATGGGCGAAAGAAGTTTTTGCATAAAACGTAGGGTGAGTTGAAAGCGAAATTGGCCGGCTCCGCTATGGGGAAGGAGTTTAGGGAAACTTTTCAGACGTTGCTGAGTCAGTAGACTTGCGAGCAGTTACAGATTAGGTATGCAATTGCATAGGAAAGGTCTTGAGAATTGCCCTAGAGACAATAGAATGCATGCCACGGGAGTACACGATTATCCGATTAACTAATTAGATATACAGCAGCCTTTACGTGAGTGAGAATACAAGTCCCATTTAAGCTACGATTATAAGGAAAAGAGTTCAAGGTTCTTCTTCCTCGATTCGATTGTAAGGGAGAGTCGTCAACGTTTTTCTCCCCTTGAATCCTAAAAAAGAAGTAAACAGAAAATATATGCAATATACAAGAAGCCCATTCTCAATCTTTCAATCAGTCATTATCGAAGTTCAAAGGGTCATTGCCACTTTAAATTTCTGCCGTGACGTAAACATCTCAAAATAATGTTACTTAGTTTAGTTTAGTTAAGTTTAGTTTATTGAGATTTTCCACTGAAAAATACAATTTACAAGTAAATACATGAACAGAAACACGCAATAAATAAACAAAATAATAATGGCAGGAGTAAAATACAGGGCGAGCACCAATTGACATTTGTCCCCTTACAAAATACAAAGAATAGAAAAATATAGGTTACATATGCACTTATGTACTTTTTCTATAGAATATAGACTGTTACAACAAATGTCGGAGGGCCATGGTCCATCCACATAGTAGGGTTCAGTCCCCTCGCGTCAGCATATATTTTAGATTTTCGCGCGAATAGTTTCATTAATGTTACTTAGTTTGGTGTTGTATGTTTGTAAGCTGCGTCTCGTGTCCCTTTAAAGATCCAAACCGTCGGGTATGTTTCAAGCTTTCATTTCGCCGGATTTATTTCGTTTGTTGTCATTTATTGTCGGAAGTTAGATTTCGTATAATTTGATTTTGTTATGAAGAATAAATTGTATGGTTCAAGCAACTATTGAGAAACGTTACCGATGCGTAAGTTACAGTTAAAATGGCGTCTCGCCGACGCTTAACTAAAAAAAAAAAACCCTTGCAGAAGTATTTCCATAGCTGTGATCTGCACATCATGGAAACTTAGAGGAAATTATCTTTTTTTTAAAGAGAAAGCATTTTATTGTCAGAAACAGCGACTTACTATGGTCAAAAGAGCCGCTAAATTTGCAAAGCGAGCAAGGTGCGGAATACGATATCTAATTGCACTTTTGAGATAGGCTTAGTTTATTTGATTGGTCCCGCTTTAAGTGACCATTCAATACAGGTGGAAGACAATACAAAAAGGCCCGACGTTGGGACTCGGTGAAGGGTGACCACAACCACTTGTTTTGGAGTATTTATGAAAGGTCGTTTCTTATCAACTGCAGGATTGCAATGACTTTCCCTGACTCAGCTATTTGTTCCAAATAGGAAAAAAATATTTAATTAGTTTGCAAATAATGCTATGTGACTGAACGGTCATGAATATTGTGTCTTGATACCCCGGATGTATTTGTGGAGGGAGGTCAGTTTTGTCGTAATAATAAATCAAGGGGAAAGGAACTGTTCATAGATGTAGAGGATACGTCTAAATTCTGGTTGGCCAATGTAAATCTGAAGTAAATAGCATTAGTTGAAGTTTTGACATCAGGATAAATTTCCATTGATTGAATTGATTAAAATATTCCACCTTGCTTTTACAGGTTGAGCGCTAAGCAGTGAAATCTCACCTCCAGTCTGCGGTAGGAATCCATCTTGGCTTAACTGTTGTTAAGTTAAATGAGGCAAATGAAAATTTAGGTAGAACGCAGTCGAAATTGGACGAAACTGAAACTAAATTGAGTACCACAAATAGCCAATTGCTTGAAACAAAGAAAAAGACAGATGATTTAAAGAAGGAAGTCGAGACACTGCAAAAACAGTTTAAAGAGAAAGCAGTCAAAGATCAAGAAAATGCAATGAAAGAGCAAATAGTGATGGGGAAAAGTGAATCTCCTGGTTTTTCTTCTGTATACATTTGGAAGATTGACGAGTTCAGTAAACTTATGAGGGAGGCCGAGGCCAATGAGGAGATGGTTGTAGATAGTGCTTCATTCTACACAGAGAACCATGGATATAAGCTGAAAGTGATGATATATGCATTTTTCGACCGTCAAGCAGAGCATGTCCTCCCCGGGGACATTTTTGTAATGAAAGGTCAATATGACGCCATATTACCCTGGCCTTTCAACAGGAAAATAAAGTTTACTATTATGAATCAACAGGAAGATCTGGATGAAAGGGATAACATTATCGCAGTGTTCATACCAGACAGTGACCGAAAGTGCTATGCAAGGCCTAAAAACGAAGAGAACATAGGACATGGAGAACGATTATTTATATCACAAACACAACTCGAATCTAGGCGCTACGTTGTGGATGACACTCTTTTCACTCAAGTTGAGGTCGACTCACCTAGGAACCTTCGTTTTGGAAAACTTTCAAACTGATACATCTTACACAACAGCAATCTGGAGAAGGTCATAACTTTTAATCCCAGATTGGCGCAGACCCTTTTCAGAGCAATGGCCTCAGCATGTGTTTAAATGGAAAAATCGCTTGAAAGAAGGATGAAAAAAAAGTTAACAACATCCTAATCCTAATCGAGGTAGTTGCGTTATTATCGTTATCATCACAACTTTACTTAGAGTGCGTCACACTATCAGTCTAATTGGCGCATGTCATCTTTATTCCAATGTCGAACCTTTTGCTTTCCCTAGCAGGAACTGTTAATATCTCAGGAAATTATAGATCATTTCTTACGTTCGCAGCTTTCCGTTTCTCACGAGCGGGTACTTTTGAATTATGCTGTGCTAAGATCAGTGGTATATATATTTGGATTTAGGGCCCTTATTAAAAACAGTTTTCACCGGGTTAACTG